GTCGTTAATGAAGATATTGATCAGAGCCGGTCCCAAAACAGACCCCTGCAGAACCCCACTTGTTATGCCTTTCCAGCAGGATTGGGAACCATTAATAACAACTCTCTTAGTACGGTTATCCAGCCAGTTATGCACCCACCTTATAGTAGCCCCATCTAAATTGTATTTGCCTAGTTTATCGATAAGAATATCATGCGAGACCGTATCAAATGCATTACTAAAGTCTAGGTATACCACATCCACAGCTTCTCCCTTATCCACAAGACTCGTTATCCTAGCAAAGAAAGCTATCAGATTGGTTTGACACGATTTGTTCTTTACAAATCCATGCTGGCTATTCCCTATCACCTTACCACCTTCCAAGTGTTTGCAGATGATTTCCTTAATTACTTGCTCCATTATCTTCCTTGGCACAGAAGTTAAACTAACTGGTCTGAAGTTTTCTGGGTTGTTTTTATTTCCCTTTTTATAGATGGGCACTATATTTGCCCTTTTCCAGTCTTCTGGAATCTCTCCCGTCTCCCACGATTCTCCAAAGATAATAGCTAGAGGCTCAGATACCTCCTCTATTAGCTCCTTGAGTATTCTAGGATGCATTTCATCAGGCCCTGGTGACTTGCAGGCATCTAACTTTTCTAAGTGATTTTTAACTTGTTCTTTTTTTTATTTTATCTGCTAAACTTACCCCCTTCCCATTAGTATTCACTATGTTAGGCATTCCTTCAGACTTCTCGGTGAAGGCCGAAACAAAGAAGTCATTAAACATCTCTGCCATTTCCAAGTTTCCTGTTACTGTTTTTCCCTCTTCACTGAGCAGTAGGCCTACCCTGTCTTTGGTCTTCCTCTTGCTTCTAATGTATTGATAAAAAGTCTTCTTGTTTCCCTTTATTCCCGTAGCTAGTTTGAGCTCATTTTGTGCCTTTGCCTTTCTAATCTTGCCCCATAGTGACCCTTACTCCATGGCGGTAGTGCCTTCAGGTTCTCCTTCCTTTGAAGGGCTAGGAAGGCTGATAGAGAGTAGGCAAACCTGATATAAAAATATATCCTCACAGGCAGCAGTGGGTAAAGCTTACATCAGTGGATAAAGACCACATCCATATAGCTAAAAAACACCAACCTTGGAGGCCATGCGTCCCTTGAGGAACCTCCCTTATGTCTAATCCTAACCTGCCCTGCTTTCGTTTAAGGCCACTGCTTTTTGTAATATGTCCTTAGTCAACTTAGAAAATAGGTCTCCCCTTTATGAGGTTCCCCTTCACTTTCTCAGACAAAGGGGAGCCTAAGGCAGAGATCCTGTCTGTATTCATGTACACTAGCTGCCCCACCATGCTATACCATCACCTCCACACACCCAAACAGAAGCTTGTAGGACAGCAGCAGTCAAGGACACATGGCAAGGAAGCATTGTGCAAACACATGGCCAAAACATGGGCAGCCGTGGCCTCTAACGGATCATGGGTTTTGGGGGCTGAATCCAGTCTGTTCCAGGAGGAGCAAACTCTCCTTCTCTCCCTCCAAAGGATAGGTAAGCAGCACACTCTTCCACTAGAGCCTGGAACTCACCACTAGTGAATTTCCCATTTCCAAAAGGAGAATAACCTGGGTAGGGGGTAATTTGACCCTTAGGTCATATCCTTTCAGTATTTAATAGAATGATCCTACCTTCTCTTCTCACTTGATTCCTTTAAAAACAGGGCAAGAGAACCTGTGTCTCCTTAGAGCAATATTACAGCTCCCTTCATTGCCCATGTTCTATACCGCATGGATTCAGAGCCTGCTAATCTGCGCTGCCAGACATTAACCAGTCTCCCATGGTTGGCAGGCCAGCAACCACTCTCATTTTGTAGTAGTGACGATGCTGTGCATGAACTGAGGAGAAGGCAGGATACCTAATCATTGCATAACACTGGCAGTGGCAAAGCAGAGATCCGGGGAGGATCTTGAAGAGGATCATGGATAGGTAAAAGTAAAGGCTTAGATGCATCTTGTAAACCCAATTTGATTAGATTTGTCTCATTCCTCATTTCTTACTTGCAGGCAGCCTGACTGTGTGTACTCAGGTGGTGCAGCCTATGGTAGCTGGCTACATGTAAACTTGGCAATTCCTGCATCAGGGAATCATTGTGTAGCATGGAGGGCAGTGTATCCTGTAAGCTGAACAACAGCCTGTCTGTAATAAAACAATGAATCCTGCACAAGCAGTGTCTGCCTCCCTTTTTCCCAGGAGTTAGACTGCCACATTCACACTATCCCTGAGTTACAATTACTGAAGTCCTTTAACCATGATTCCTTTTACATCAGACCTTCCAATCTGTTGATCATCATTTTTGCATCTATTTGTATTCTTTCTATTTTATCACTATCTTTTTAATGGTGAGATACCCAAATCTGTACACCCTGGATCAAATTCAGCTCTGTTCATGCTGGAGTTCATGTGAAGTTCATACAGTTCAGTGGAGACATTCTGGATTTACACATATATACATGAGAGAATTTTTCCCATTATTCTATGTGGGGCCTCACTGATGCTTCATACAGAAGAATTTTTACCCCCTTATAACTAAAAATGCTTCTCTTTAGAGATCACATTTACTTTTTAATCCTCAGTCCACTATTTCCTCTTTTTAAAACCCTTTTGATAGCCTAATAGAACTCAAATTTACCTTCTGATTTGCTAGTCCCTTTACCAGAAGGTAGTCCTTCATCTCGGCATTTCTGGTCAATCTGTGTTTCAGAAGAACATGAATAAATGGTATAGAGTTTGCTATTTAGAAGGATTTTTAATAATTTCTACTCAGTGGATACTGCAACAATGTACAACATTGTTTCTTAAGTGGGCTAGTGAAAGATGTCATCCTGACTGTCCTGGAGAATAACGTCGATTATTCATATAGGACACATATAGCAATGGCAGCAGCAGTGCAGACTTCTCCATGTTGCCCTGCTGTTGAGCCTCAACACTGACCAGGAGGAAACCTTCTAGTGATGGGAGGAGTGTTCAATGTCTTTGGCCTTTGTGCTGAGACGGACAATAAGGGTGAGGGACAATAAGTGATAATGAGTTTTGTGGTGAGAACATTTGTCGACTGGAAACTGGACTGAGACCCCACATTTATTTCTCAGGGGCCACCAGATAGTTTTTGGGTGGCAACATCTTTCAATACAAACTTGAGTTGGACTTGAACCAATGATGTGGAGGTGAAGGACTCTATTCATTACCACTCCTCTGAGCCATCCAGTTCAGCCCCTCATAGCACAATTTATTAGTAGTAACTGATGATTAACAATTAATTATTATAAATAACACACTGTTTTTAAAAAAGATTGGGGCATTTGTCTCAAGAGCTATCACAAGAAGTGGTCAGAACATGTTGATGACATCATTTTTGGAACCATAGTAAGATGGATGTGTAATCTAAGCACAAAGAAGACCTATTGTATTATGTTGTGAAGTTGCATTTGCTCCAGACTTGATGTGTTTAGGTTTTTAGACCTGTTCCTGTGAGGTGCTGGGTGCCTTCAACTCCATTTCAAGTTCATGGGAGCTCAGGAAAATCAGTGCCTGCTAGGATTGGGCCCCTAATGTCGCACAATAATTCTGTTTTCATTTTTATGTTTCTGTTGCTTTTGTTCCCATGTTTGGGAAACGGATCAAAGATTGAAGGGCTTCCAGAACAACTGAAACCCTTTGATCACCACCCCGATGGGCTGGCTCTATAGCTCCATCCTCCACCCCCTTCTTCTTTCCTCCCTTCCCCAGGGCAACAGTCTCTTCTTACTATGTGCCTGTTGTGGGCACCCGCTGCTCCTGTCTTTGGGTGGCTGACACAGCTGCTACTGCTAAATATGTGTTTGATGGTCAGCTGCAGTTCTGGGTCCCCCCTACACTGTTCCTCTCTCTGTTGTTGCTCCCCTTAATGTCCCAGTCTTCCACTCCCACCTAGTCTTCTCACCTCAAAATGTTGTTGTGACAGGATTGCCAGGGTGCAACCTGGGACTGTGCCCCTTTAACTCACTAATGTGGGTTGTCTCTGTCAATAACTTACTGGTGACAAGCAGCGAACCCCTCCAGATGCTATTACCACTCAGTACAACCACAGATGCAGCCCCATACCCAGCCAGATTGTATGAATGCTCCCAGAGCCGCTCACAAATCACGCAGAGAAAGGCACCAGCCAAATCCCCCCAGCTCCCAGCCTTGTACCACCAGAATATATTATCTTGCAACTCCTCCAGACCCTTTCTTGAGCAATTCAAGTTTATTAATTGATTCACCATTTCCTCAATGGAAAGTGGAAATGCACCAGCCTTTGTAACCTGAGCCGATTTACCAAGCACTTCAGTCAAACCCACTGGTCAGGATAAACACTAGACTAAGTTTATTGATTACAGAAGATGGATTTTAAAGGATTATAAGTGATAGGCAAAAGTCAGAGTAATTACCAAAGGAAAATAACAGATAAGCACACAGTCTAAAATCTCAACCTTATTAAACTAGGCAATATCTGGACTAAGCAGTTTTTCTCACCCCGCTGGATACTGCAGGTTGGTTACAGTTTTTCATATGCAGGCTCTCCCTGGTAGCCTGGGAACCAGTCTCCTCAGCTCCAGAATTCTCCTCATTGCCTTCAGTGTAGGTTGGAGACAGGGCCGGCTCTAGGCACCAGCAAAGCAAGCAGGTGCTTGGGGTGGCAAATTTGCAGGGGCACAAGAATCCAGCATGAGGGTTGAGAACCAACAGGGAGCCCTGGGAGCTGTAGTTCCTTGGTTAGCTCCCTGCCTATAGAGCCAGCCCTGGAGCAGGGAAAGAACTACATTTCCCAGCATTCCCTCGGCTGCAATTAACAGGAAAGGGAGGGGGAAGGAGTGTAGAACTGAAACCTCATGCTACAGCTTGCTGTGAATGGTAGGGACAGAGCCAGCTCTAGGTTTTTTGCCGCCCCCCACCTCAAAGAGGACCCAGAGTGCTGGCGGGCGGCTTGGCGGGAAGAGGCCTGCGGGGTAACACGGCACCGGTTTCCCGGGAATGGGGCGTTTTGTTCGTTATCAGCACAGCTAAGATGGTGACATTTCAAAAGGCAACAAAACGCTACGTTAGGAGAATCCGGATCTCCCATGGTCAGGGGGCTGGAGAGCTCAGGGCCTTTTATCTCTAGTCCCCCAGCTGGAACCCAACCCAGACAGCTGTTCAGTGACCTATGTGAAATGGGTACATGGCACAGCGCAGCACAACAGTCCACAGTGTCGCTGGTCCAGGGACCTCCACTGCTCCCTACAAACGGTCTTCCCCTCCTCCCCCCAGGGCAAAATAAGTGACACGCCCACTTCACAGGGACTTCTCCTGAGAACGGATGGGGAGAGAAGTGAAATCCCGCAGCAAATCAGAGGTCAAGTAGGAAACAGCACCCAGGAGTCCTGGCTCCGAGTCCTCTGCTTGGCCCACTGAAGGAGATCAGCGAGAATGCCAGCAACGGTGCCAGACATGACAGCAGTTTTGTAACATACACACCCAGCCGCTGGGGACTAGACTGAGACCCCCACCCCCCCGCCCCAACTCATTTAACGTGGGGACTACCGAGCAGACGTCAGATATGAAAACTGCTGGTGACCATCCAGGTGAGTTGCAACCCAGCTGGTGACCTAAAGAGTGAAAGGCTCCAATAACACATTAGCAATCCCCTTCCTGCCACCAACACAGGTGGGCTGTGAACTGGCACCCTAAAGGTATGAGGCTCTGTGACATTTAAAGACACTTTATCCTAAGACCGTGCAGAAGCCAGTCAATAGTCCTGGTCACCGGCTTTCTGGGCTGGCTATTTGCTGACGCGCCCGAGCTGTCGGCCGGAACAAACTGAATGGCCCTGTTTGCATTTCAGTTCTGCTTTCACTCACTCCAGCTGTCAATTAAAATGAAGCACCTATTAAAAGAAGAATTCATTTGGGGAAAAGCCAAATGCTCTT